GTTGATAAAAATGTTCAAATAGGATGGTTTCAATGGAGTAATGAAAGCGGTCGTGCAAGAAAAGAAGAATTTGAAGGTACTACTCTTGCTATTGTATCTAAGCGGCTTCTTGTATGTCTCTATATCTGTGTGTATATTCTGTTGTATTCCTGAAGGTTCAGGTGATGATTGTGTTAAAGTATTAAAAGGCAAATTCAAATCATATCTTTGGCATATATTTATAAGACATGAACAAAGTAATTATTTTGAATATATAAAACAAAATGCTGGTGATAAAACTGTTGTAATTCAAGTTGATTATGCAGAAAATTTTACGATGGATGAACAAAATCGAATTCAATCAGCAAATTGGTCTAAAAAGCAATTGTCTATATTTACAGCATATGCATGGTGTAGTGGTAGTGAAGGTGATGTAGGATTCTCATTTGGTTTAGTATCGAATAATACAACACATGGTAAATTTAGCATTGCTACATGTCTTGATGTTATTGTAAATGAAACAAAAGGTTATGTGCCAGATGTAAATGAAATAATCTTTTTTTCTGATGGTGCTGCTAGTCAATTTAAAAATCGTTTTTTATTACGTTATTTAACATATATGATGGATGATAATGATGTTGATATAAGCTGGAACTTTTTTGCTAGTAGTCATGGTAAAGGTGTTATAGATGGCATAGGTGGCATATTGAAACGCTTAGTATGGTCAGAAATGATGGCTGGTAAAAGATGTATATCAGCTTCAGATTTTATTCAAATTTGTAATGAAAAAACCAAAATAATAATAGTAGGACAAATAACAAATGCTCAAATAGATGTAACAATAGCAAAACTATCATATATGTTTGATCAGACATGTAGTGTACCTGTTATACGAAAACAACATTCTATTAAAGTTTTACATAAAAATATAATTGAGTGTAGTTCATATACAAATTGCACACAAACATTCGTATTTACATTTGAATAAAAAGAACTTTCGATTTCTTTCAACGTTTTCAACTTTATTAACTTGTCTATTGTGAAAAAAACATTATTTTTGTTGTCATAGAATAAAAACATATATATAGAATAATCAGTACTCAATGAAATAAGTTGTAGAACACACTGACGTCAAGTTTTCAAGTTAACTGTGTTTAAAACATGAAACAGAAACTCCGTCATTCGAAGCATGAAAAAATAATGTCATTCCGTGACGATAGTATTTCGTCTATATTTATATTTCGGAAACGAAACATAGATTTGAAATTCTATTTCTTTCTATAGACAACCCAAAGTCTAGGCTATAATTTTTCTATAGATCACATTTCTTCAAACTGTAAGGATGAGCTGAGTTTTGAACATCTTTACACACTACTGAAAGCAGCATTCCATTTTCTGTCATTCCATGACGGCCGATATTTTTTCTATAAAAAGCTATCCATATCACGAAATATAAAGTGAAACTTTAGGATATTGTAGAGCTTGACGATCTAGATATGTGCAGAAAGTTTGAATTTCCTAGTTGTCACCGTTACAAAGAAAACTAGATTGAAAGAAGGAAAAGTGTCATTCCGTGACGTTTGATCAAGCCGACACTGAAATCAAACGTCGTTGTTTATTAACCTTTAACTTTTAAAGGACACAACCAACAGTTCTTCATCGTGGAATGGTGGAACTCATGGATGAGACAATGAATTTCCATCTATGAAAGCTATATTTATGGCAAAGGGACCGTATTTTAAACGAGGATTCGAATTAGATACTCTCAATAATGTTGATATATATCGTATACAAAATATTAAATTTAGAGCCAAATAATTCATCTGCAACAGCTTTCCAAATAACGATAGGATCGTAATCGAGCAGATCCGCATTATCAAGTGGGAGATTTAGTTTTAATAAAATATTATGGAAGGAAACATAAATTAATCGAAAAATTTTCACGAACGCCATACAGAATCGTTGAAGTCAAGCATCCAATTGATTGGGTGAAAGATGTTGAAATGAAGGCGATGACACGAGTACACGTTAAGTTACTAATTGACTCATGAACATGCCATAAAGTAGTATATTCGATGGGTTAACACATGGCTTATAATACAGGATTTCCGCAAATATGAATGGCAATTCTACTCAATCATTTGACTGCTCAACGACTACTCTTCGAGTGATAGACGTCTAAGGATGCTGCACAAATGCTAGCAAATTCGATCCCATCAATCCTCAAGCAACCCGCAGTGTATTATTTAAATAGTCAGACATCGATTCGTTCTATGAAGGATTTAATCACCGTATGTACAGGCACAAAACATTCTGTTATTGATCGGTCAGATACGGTCAGATCTTGATACTCACTTACCTTCAATTATTCAGATCTTACCAACACCTGCCGACTCATCAGCAACCGCGTTAGTTCTCATAATTACTGAAGTTAATCACTTACCACCGATGGGAAAATCCCGTATAAAAACTGGAGAAGTGTGCAGTGTCATCTTCAAGAAAAAACATCAATTTCCCGGATGGGGAGATCGTCTTGGAGAACTAAAGAAGCTCAAAGCTTATCAGTTATTCAATACGTCAAATATTGTTCAGCCACATGATATTCAAGCATCATTTAGATTTGTCTAGTCGATTAGGCAGTAGATAGTGCATATTCAGGATTACGAAATCATGCGCGACGAAAGGATCCATCTCGCATCGTAATGAAAATAAGAAACTCAAAAATATGAAGTAATAGTTCGTGGATGATACAATAGAACAGCTAAAACATTCCGAATCAACCACATCTGGACTAAGCTTTCTACACTGATATACGCAGAACATTAAGCCAACTGTCGCTCGGAAATTAAAACTAAATCTATATTTTAGCCGTTACTGTATCAAGTCCATCCAAAACTTGGAAGCACAAATTGGTGTTTAAGAGAACCTCCACGAGCCTATTCAGTAAACCTGTCAATCACGAAAATTAGATTTTGTTAAAAGTTACATCATTCGATTCGGCATGAAAAACTGGAATTACGCAGCTTTTTAAAACCTTGTAAGTCATTTTGTTCTGGAGAAAATTAACTTTTTCCAAGACCTAAGCCTAAAAAAATCCCAAAACTGACCAATTTCAGCTTTTTATGTATAAAACCGTCATTTTTCGTTCGATATTTTTGAACAACATGTCATTCGAAAGAGCGTACATAACTGAAAAAAATTTGATATTCAAAGATATTTTAAAGTTAAAATAGTACTTGCAAAAAAATACTTTACTAAAATTTTGATGTTTTTGTGAAAAAACTCGAATATTCTAAGCAACCACAACAGAGTTTTGATATTTTAATAGCGCAAACAACTCTGCACCTGGTGCATTGTTTAAAAATGACTAAATCGATGTACCTTGAGATCAACCAAGTGTAGGTAAAAATCGCCTGGTGCTTCAGCACTACATTTCTTGGAATTGCGATAGCGCTATTCGTGATCAGCGTAGTGAATTTTATATTCCTAGTTACTTTTAATAATTGAATTTTGAAAAAAAATTTTCGAAATCCTAAAGTGTAGAGGGGTCAAAAATCTCAAAGTCATTTCATGGAAAATGACTACGCTTGATTTCTAGACCATATCAACCTTGTTACTCCCATATAGTTATTTCTAGAAAATATACTGGGCCGAAAAGTGCCCTTAACGCCCCTCGTTCTTTCAAATAACAATAATAATAATACTTTGCGAAAATTCATTATTCTGACTACTATTTTGAATCTAAAATTTTTCTGAATATGCGATACTGTTCAGTTTTTCCTGCTCTTTTGAATGAGATATTGATCAAAAACCTTGTTAAAAACTGTCGATTTTATTCATAAAAAACTAAGAAATGTCGATGTTTTCGACTTTTTCCGCAAGTTTTTGAGAAAAATCCACAGAACCACAGAAAGAAAACGTACTGAAGGAGGACAAGGTTTTTCTATACTTAATCTTGGCGGAAAACCGATTGGGAATAGTTTAACGACGAAAAAAAATTATTTAGAGCATTTTCTGTATTTTGGTCATTTCCAGCTCTGGTTATTGGGGGACATTTAGATCCTGGGTTGCATCGATTTAGCTATTTTTAAACAATGCACCAGGTGCAGAGTTGTTTGCGCTATTACAATATCAAAACTCTGTTGTGGTTGCTTAGAATATTCGAGTTTTTTCACAAAAACATCAAAATTTTAGTAAAGTATTGTTTTGTAAGTACTATTTTAACTTTAAAATATCTTTGAATATCAAATTTTTTTCAGTTATGTACGCTCTT